GTAAACAAGTAAGAAAAAGAGAGAGAGAGAGAGAGAGAGAGAGAGAAAGTGAGAAAGCAAGCCGCCAGGTCCAGGACTCAAACCACAGTCAGCCATGTGGGAGTCCAGTACCCTTAACCACCACACCACCAGTCAGCCCCTTCACTCTCTTTCATTTCTCCATTCTTTTATTTGGTGCTTACCAGGCTAGATCATGTGCTAAGCAAGAGGGATCAACCATGAACAAGGCCTTCATATTCCCTGCCCTTACACCATTCCCTCATACCGTTCACACTCACACCTAGCACATGAGGGTTCCCTGTTTGCCCTCAATGCACACATCTCATCTCCCCCTGATTCCTGTCAGTTCCATATCTTGGAATTTGTTTGAATCCACCCTACTATTGTCACAAGTTTCTTGTCAGGCCCTATCAATACCAACAGTGTAAGCCCCTAGGAGAAAGGGGCTGGGTATTCCTTACTGCCTCAAATTGGCAGTAAGGAACACTCAGCAGGCACCACCATGTGCGCACAACATGCCAAGATCGGGGAGCTGAGCCAGATATAGGTGGTCCCTGCCTTCATCCTACTCTTGCTCAACATCTCTGAAATGCCAGGTTAATAGAACAATTCCCAGCAGGCTCCTCTTGAACACTGGAGCTCTTCAGCCTTTCCTCACACATGCTGATTCACAGCATACCCCACCATGTCCCCCAACGTTTTTTGTAACCAATGCTACCTTGATAAAAGTTTGAGGGGCTCTTAAAGACAGGGCTTCCTCCTGGGATAAGGACTGCTCCATGTCTGAGAGAGAGGACCCAGAGTCTCCACAGCACTTCATTCCCTATTCATTTTTCCCCAAGGATCCCTCATCTGGTGTCATTGGTTCATTCAACAAATATTTTTTTTTCTTTTTCTTTCTTTTTTTGGAGAGCTTTTTGCTATAGAGCACATGCAGAGAGAGACAGAAAGCAAGAAATCACCCCTCAGGGGATGGTCTTGCCTCCATCCTTTCTCCTCCATTCTCCTCCTGGGACCCTGGGCATGCATGCATATATGCCCAGCTTGAGTTTTAAGCTGCCAGGTCTAAGCCTCTAACCTCGGTAGGCCATGTGGGAGTGCAACAATGTAACCATTGCACCATCTGCTGGCCCCTCAGCAAATAATTCTTAAGCACCCACTGTGTACTAGGCACTGGGATTACAGGTGTGAATAAAACCAAATTTCCCCTCTCTGCCTCACATTATAGAATTTATTTTCTAGTGAACAGGAATAAATGATAGATAGATTAGATAGATAATAGATATAGATAGATGATTGATCGATAGATACATAGATAAAGATGATAGATAGACAGACGGGCATATTACAGATGGAGCAGAGGGAGCTCTTTAGGTTGGGTGATTAGAGAAGGCAACATGTGAGCAGAGTCCTAAACAAAGAGAGTCCAACTTTACAAAGATCTGGGAAAAAAGGGTACAGCAGGACAAATGTCCTGGGTTAGGAATGAATGAGCCTTCTTGGTGAAACAGCAAGGAGACCAAGACAGCAGGAGTTGGGCAGAAGTAGGAGGAGATGAGATCAGAAAGGTAGGCTGGGGCAGATCACATAGGACCTTGGAGGCCAAGACGAGAATTTTTTTTTTCTTTTTTTCGAGAGATTTTTGCTATAGGGTGTGTGTGCTCGCCAGACAGACAGAGAGATAGAAAGTGAGAAATCACCCCCCAGGGGGGATGGCCATGCCACAATCCCTTCTCCTCCATTCTCCTCTCGGGATCTTGGGCAGTCACACACACACGCACCCAGCGTGAGTTTAAGCCACCGGGTCCAGGCCTCGAACTGCGGTCGACTACGTGGGAGTCCAGCGACAGCCATTATGCTAACTGCTGGTCCCCCAGGATGAGAATTTTGACCCTTTTATTTGGTGTAGTGGAAGCCATTAGGTTTTAAGCAAAGATGACATAATCAGAGATTTTTAAAGGGGATTGATTTAGATTTAGCCTGCAAAATACAGAAATTAAGTATAAGACCATGAGATATTCCCTCTGTTACAGGATTTCTACACAAACAGGAAAGGTGGAGACCTCCCTTCCCCAGAAAGGAAGACTTCTGGGAAGGTGGAGTTGGGCAGTCATAGGAGCCTTCCAGGAGGAGGTGGCATTTGAAGCCAGGCTTGAAGGGATGGACAAGATTACTAGCTATGTGACACCTTGGGCAATTTGCTGATTTAACACTCATTTTCTTCATCTGCCAAAGGGAAGGATAATAGAAATATGTCATTAATCTCATTATCATTGTTGTAACTAGAGAAGTAGCTAGGAATGGTAAAAAATGAAGGTGGAAGGCAGCCTATGGCATAGTGGTTAAGGGGGAGGATCCCACATGGCTAACTGCACAGTTCAAGTGGCTTCAAAAACATGCCAGGTACTTGTTCATATGTGCCCAAAACCCCAACAAGAGAACAAAATGGAAGAGAATGGATTAGGGCATGATCATGCCCCACTGGGGGTTGCTTTCTCCCATTCCTTGTCTCTGTCACTCTCTGGCAAGTACATGTGCCCTTTAGCAAAACAAATAACAACAAAAAGATGAAGGTGCAGAAATAAGGAACAATAGTGATGATGTCACAGATTAATAATAGCTAATACTTTTGTACTAATGGCAGGAAATCTTTATTATAATCCTAGAAAGTAAATACTATCATCCCCATTTAACAGGAGAAATCTTAGCATGAAGAAAAATGAAGTAAATTATACAGGATATGCATCTATAAGTGACAGGGCCAGAATTCAAACCCAGGCAGTACCTACCCTGCACACTTTGGAGCCTCAGTATGATAGAGTTAGTAAAATATAGCAGTGACAGGATTGCACCCTCGTGATAGAACTAATTCAAGTTTTTGATCCATTTTCTAGCCATTTAATCTTGCCAAATGACTTCATTTCTGAGCCTTAGTTTGCTAGTCAAAAAGAATGAGTGCTTGTGAGTCAATTTGTATAAAGGGCTTAGCTTAGTGTCTGGCACATAATAGGCTCCTTAAGGACACTATCCATGATTACTATTGTTGCAATAACCCCCTGGAAGCAGGTAATCTGGAACCACTCAATATACTTAGGGGATGTATCAGTCAGATTTTGTCACAGTGATGCTGTATAACAAACCATATCAGAACTCAGGGTCTTAAGACAACAGTTGCATCTTACTGCTCATGCATTTTCAGACCAGCTAGAGGGTAAAACCATTTAAGCTGGGCTCAGCTAGAAAGACTTTGCTCCAAGTATCTCCCCTCTTCCTTGGACCAACAGGCTGGCCAAGGGGTGTTGTCATGGTGATGAGCTGTGCAAGAGAGCAAGCAGACACACGAGGCCTCTTGCTTCCTAGGCTTGGAACTGGCATTCTGTCACCTCTGCCTCATTCTTGGCCAAAGCAAGTCATGTGGCCAAGTCGAGTCAAAGGATGAGGCAATGCACTGTGTCTCTTTAGGGGAAAGAACTGCAAAGTCACATGGCAAGGAGTGTGGACAGAGAAAAGAGCAGACTTGGGGCTCAGGCTCGAGTATTCCACAGATGGACAAAGACAAAAGGCACAGCACATCTGTCCCTCTGCTCATGATTTGCAGCTCCCTCTTCAGGGTGATTGGGAGCACACAGCCTGAACCAAGGAGAGCCAAGCCCTTATCCCTTGGTTCTTGACCATTCACTGTACTCTGCAGAGCCCAGGTTGGAGTTAGGAGGTCCAAGGACCCTGGAGAACTTCCTTACTCCTTCATGGGAACCTGGGACAGGGGTTAGATACTCCCATAGAAGGACTCAGGAAAAGAGCTGTGTGGTAGAGCAGCTGGAGACAGAGGGGAGAAGACAAGCTGATTCTAGCTAAGACTGAAGATCAGTACGCTGGAGTCTCTAGCTGGCAAGTCTGGAGTGAGTCTCCTTTCTTCCTACCCCACAGTTCTTATTTTGGAGGCCATCGAGAACCACAACCTCACAGACACGGTGCTCAAGATCACAGACTTCGGCCTCGCCCGCGAGTGGCACAAGACCACCAAGATGAGTGCAGCAGGGACGTATGCCTGGATGGCACCGGAGGTCATCCGTCTCTCCCTCTTCTCCAAAAGCAGTGATGTCTGGAGGTGCAGAAAGGCGGGGCCGAAGGCCTCTGGGAAGTGGACAAGGGAGGAAGGTCGGAGGGCAGAGTGGGAGGGATGGATCCCACCCTGTCAGAGGGGCCTGGTACTAAGGTCAGACCACCCAACCAACATCAGAGCAGCTAACTGCTCTGCACAGAAGTATCAAGTGAACAACTCAAATTAGAGTTAAAAATTCCAAAGGCATAGAGGTAGGGTATGGATATTAGCACTAACAGGCTCCTTAGATGCAGGATACCACTACCCTGTTGTCAACCAAGCCATCAAGACCTTTGGAGTCCACCATTCATTCATTTATTTATCTAACTGTGCTGGGTTCTAAGGCTTCAGCAGTGAACAACAGTAGACATGATTCCTGCTCTTAGAGATAGAAAATAAATAAATATACAATAAGCTAAAGAAAAAGGGAAAGCTGTTTTTAAGGTAAGAAAGTTGTAAAATAAGTTTTTAAAGATACTAAGTAAATTCACCAGGAAAAAGAAAAAAGTATGAGTGATCTCCAAAAAGCTCTTGGAGAGCCAGACCATGGAATAGTGGCAGCTGGAACCCACACAGCTTACCCCACAGTTCAAGTCTTGAGGAGGCTTGAAAAACACCCGGTGGCACGTGGGGGGTGGGGGGGTGGGGGTTCCTGAAGTCTGAAAAGGAGAGAAAGATGAAAGAGAAAGGATGAATTACAGCATGACCATTCCCCATGGGATGGGCCTCATCTTTCTCCTCTCTCTCTCTCTCTCTCTCTTTCTCTCTCTCTCTCTCTCTCTCTCTCTCTCTCACACACACACACACACACACACACACACACACACTGTAGGGGAAAAATGCATATTATGAAAAAAACTATGCATGGATTTCACAGATCTTTTGCATCAAAGTAAATTCGTCTTTTAATTCCATCTTCCACAAGCTTTTTGGAGCTCCCTGGTATTAGATAGCGGTAAGAGCAAGTAGGTTGACAGGAAGACACCTTGAAGGCCAGGGGATTGCTTTGGGGAGGGCATTTCTGAGTAATGATACTTTAGCTGAGTTTCAAATGAAAAAGAGGAGCCAGCCATGCAAAGTTTATGGGAAGAAACCTCCCAGTAGAAGGACCACATACCACTAAGGAGATCCTGAGGTGAGAAAGAGCATGGTGTGTCCAGAGACAGCAACAAGGCCCCTGTGACTGGAGTAGAGCAGGCTGAGAGGAGGGGCAGGGTGTAAAAGAGAGGTTGCTGAAGGCCCAGAGGCTGAGGGAATGGACTTCAGCTTTTATTCTAGTGTCTTGGAAAACCATTAGAAGCATTTATGAATGACATGATCTGATTTCATATTTTAAAAGCCCCCTTGGCTCTTGGGTAGAGAATAGATCATAGAGGACAGAGTGGAGGTGGGAAGCTGTTACCAAATGAGAGTTGATGATGGCAGTAGGAACTTTTCAACCCCATGCCTTTTGCTTAGTTGGAGCCAAACCCAGGTCTCCCCATTTACTGTCCCAGTCAGTCCCTGGCTGAGGCTCCAGATTGTCCAAGCCACAAACTAATGGGTTTTGGGCAGAGACAAATCAGGAGTCTCAAGCTTGACCTGGAGCAGAGCAGCCCTTTGGGAGACATTCCAGCTGGGAAGAGAAATTCCAACAAGGAAGAGAAAGCCCCAAATAAAAACAAGACTGAAGTTGTGGTTCTCATGTTAAGTCCAGAACTGATAAGGTGCCCCAGTGTCAGAGATTCAGGTGCCTTTGATGTTGGGGTTCCTCAATAGAGATGTTGTTGACATTGAACAATATAGCTCTTCTTTGTGTGGCCCTGTCCATATTTCTGAAGATGATAAACAATAACATCCCATCATTTTGATAATTGAAATATCCTCACAAGTTCCTGGGAGCATGAGAGAGGTGGGGGCATCATGCCATCCCCAATTGAAAACCACTGTTATTTCCCTCCACTTTGTGTGGTTTCTGTGCCCAGATTCACTTCATGATCTAAAACAGCTGCTGAAGTTCCAGCTTTTATATTTGTATTCCAACCAAGAGAAAGGAGAAAAGAGTAGAAGAAGTGCCCTTATCTAAGACACTTCCTGGAAGTGAGTTGCGCATGACACACCCTCCTACATCCTAGTGCCCAGAACTATAGACATACTTGGGCCAACCCATAGCCTCATGCTTAAAGGAATTTGGTCCCACATGGCCAGCTGCAGCTCAAATCCTGACCCTGGTGGGTGCTTTTTCTCCTTTCTTTCTCTCTGATGAATGCACATGCCCTCATTTAAAAGATGTATATGTAAACATACTTAGCTGCCAAGGAGGACAGTGAATCATTGCAGACAGCCTATGGCCAGCTCATATTCACCAGTACTGTCACTGAGAAGAAAGTACAGACCATCACTGCCAGGAGCAGTGGTTCTGTCTAGTTTTAGCACCTAAAATAGTGCCTGGCACACAGGAGACATTAGTAAGTATATATTGAATGAACTCATGAGTAGATACTAGGGGAGAACAGGAATCAGTACATGTAACGTCCTGCCCAGAATGGTGACTGGGATCCAGAAAGATGCACAGTTTACTGGGGAAGGTGGCTGTATAGGTGAACATAGCACAGTGATACACACTCTGGGATTCGGTAGCTGCTGAGGGCACTGTTGTGGACATCAGGCAGACCCAAATCCAGGTGTAGCTGCACACTTACTAGCTACATGACCTGGGACAATCTGCTGAGCCTCTCTGAGCCTGCACATGCTCACTGAATGAAACAGGAATCCTGCCGATACTTTCTACCTTACAGGACTCTTGTGAGGATTACTGAATGCCTAGTATAGTGCCTGGCCTGGAGTAAGTGCTTCTATACATGTTAAATAGTGTTAACTTGGTTTTAGAGGTAAGTGCTGAAGGTTCTGTGGGAGCATAGAGGAGAGAGCTAGCGTAGCTGTTGAGGCTGTGCAACCAAGGAAGTTTTTCTGGCAAAGGGGGCAACTTCAAGTTTAAGACTTGAAGAACAAATAGTCACACAAGGGAAGAATGATCTTGATAAAAGGAACAGCATGCCAGAGGTTAGGACCAACATGGCGTGTTCATCTCTCCAGTGTAGCTGCAAGATGAAGTTGAGGGTGAAACAGGCTGAGAGTGTTTCATGATGACGCTGTAGGGGTCATGAAAAGTCAAGGCTAAGAAGGATGTGTTTGCCCAGTAGGCACTGGACACCCACTGAAGGTTTTCAGGCAGGGGTGAGGGAAGAGAGGCAAAGACATCAGAGAGCAACCCTACCCCATCTGTTTGAGGACCGGCCTGCCAAGGTCAGACCAGGTCCTTATGGCTTCATTGTCCAGGGCTGGATGTTGGGGTGAGGGAGGTGCAGGTTTGGGGTGTAGGTAAGGATTGGGGCAGGCTGCAGCCTCACTCCTACTTGTCCCCCACCTGCAGCTTCGGGGTGCTGCTCTGGGAGCTGCTGACGGGTGAGGTCCCCTACCGTGAAATCGACGCCTTGGCTGTGGCATATGGCGTGGCTATGAACAAGCTGACGCTGCCCATCCCCTCCACGTGCCCCGAGCCCTTTGCCCGCCTACTGGAGGGTGAGCCAGGGCCCTGTGGAGAGGGTAGGCTCAGCTTGGGGTGGCAGGGGCCCTTGGGCCTAGACCTCTCCCCTTCACACCCATTCACATCGGTGAGCCCAGGAGTGAGGGAGAGGGGCTGGAACATGCTGAAATCACTACCCCCATAGTTGGCCCATACTCCCATACTCCCAGACCCATGCTCTGGCCAGGCCCAGAGCTCTGTAGGACAATCTATCAAGGTTCATTGGCCCTTTGAATCCTTCCCCTCAGTTCCATGGAAGCTATTTGTCCACAGTCCCCTCTGAGCACACTGATCCTCCATAGTATGACCACTATCCCAACCATTTCCCACCATTGTCCTTCCCCTTCCACCCCAGAATGCTGGGACCCAGACCCTCATGGGCGGCCAGATTTTGGCAGCATCTTGAAGCGGCTCGAGGTCATCGAACAGTCAGCTCTATTCCAGATGCCACTGGAGTCTTTCCACTCCCTCCAGGAAGACTGGAAGCTGGAGATTCAGCACATGTTTGATGACCTCCGGACTAAGGAGAAGGTGAAGCTGGGGGCAAGATGGGAGGGATGGAATGAGATATCTCAGTTCTGATGCCTTGGGACTCAGAGTCCCCTCCCTTGAGACCCAGCCTTTGGGTCTGTGCATGATTCCCAGCAAGAAAAGACAGCCTCCTGTTGATGGATTCATAAGAAAATGACACTAAGTACTGAAGTATTTACACATGATACTTCAAGCTGTCTGGGAGCAGCTTTAAAACACTATAGTAAAAATGAAAAGAGGGTGAAGGGGAGGAAGTTGGTATACAACGTGCAAGGTGTAGATCATTGTTGAGGTTGATATATGAGAGTGTAATATGCTCTGCTTTTGTGCTGCTTGAACTTCTCCAAATTGAAGAGTTAGGAATTTAACAAGAAAAGAGGAAAGAAAGGGAGGGAGGGAAGAACACCTTTCTTTGGACTAACCTAGTTCTCTGCCCTAGTACCCAGCTTGACTAGTAAACTGTGAATGGGACTTTAAGCCCAGTATGCCCACAGCAGGGGCCCTTGTGCAGGACACTAACCCAACCCAGCAGATCGGGGACCACCAGCAGGGAGCAAAGTAGTGCAGCCCCTTCCCCCAGCCACCGCATCTCATCTCACCACTTCCCAGGAGCTCCGTAGCCGGGAGGAGGAGCTGCTTCGGGCAGCCCAGGAGCAACGCTTCCAGGAGGAGCAGCTGCGGCGGAGGGAACAAGAGCTGGCAGAACGTGAGATGGACATCGTGGAGCGTGAGCTGCACCTGCTCATGTGCCAGCTGAGCCAGGAAAAGCCCAGGGTTCGCAAGCGCAAGGGCAACTTCAAGCGCAGCCGCCTGCTCAAGCTGCGTGAAGGCAGCAGCCACATCAGCCTGCCCTCTGGTACCCACCCATGTCACCATGTCTGCTGAGCATCTCCCAAGAGGCTGCCCAGAGCACCCTTATCCGAGGCTTTGTCTCTTCCTTTTATTTCTTTAAACTTTTTTTATTGCTGAACATATCACACAGAAAATCACCCCAAAACCTGTATATCTAAATGAGTTATTCTAGTGAGAGAGACCCTTACAGCATCCCAGGTGCTTTGCATGTGCCCCCTCAAAAAAACCTCATGCGGGACCAGCAGTTAGCGAAATGGCTATGTCACTGGACTCCCATGTAGTCAACTGTGGTTTGCATCCCGGACCCGGTGGCTTAAAACTCACACCAGGTACGTGTGCGTGCGTGCCCAAGATCTCAAGAGGAGAATGGAGGAGAAGGGATTGCGGCATGGCCATCCCCCCGGGGGGGTGATTTCTCGCTTTCTGTCTCTCTGTCTCTCTCTCTGTCTAACCCTGGAGTCCATGCTACCTTGACTTTCAGGCAGTCACTGCTATACTTTTCTTTGCAGTTTCATCTCCCAACTATCTACCGATCTATCATCTCTCTATATTTATTGAGTTTTGTGATAGGGTGCATGCACTTGCCAGAGAGACAGAGAAATGGAAAGTGAGAAATCACTCCTCAGGGGTACAACCCCATGCTGCAACCTCTTCTCTCTAGTCTCCTCTCTGGATTTTGTCATGTACACATGCCAGTGTCTGATGTGATTCTCAAGCCACTGGGTCTGGAACTCAAACCACACAGTCAGCCACATAGGTTCGAGCACCTTAACCTCCACACCACCTACTGGCCCTCTCCCAGCTATTTTTTAAAAGATTAATTTTTTTTATTTTTAATTTGACCAGAGAGAGAAAGTGAGAAAGCAAGCCACCAGGTCCAGGACTCAAACCATGGTCGGCAAATGTGGGAGTTCAGCCCCTTAACCACCACACCACCTGCCGGCCCCATCCCAACTATTTTTTAAATGTCTTTCAGTCTACCTCCTTTGTCCCTTTGTCAATAATTAGGTTTCTTTGTTGTTGTTGTTTTTAATTAATTAATTTTTCTTTTTTTAACATTAATATGCTATACATCATTACAGTATACAAAATGAATTTTCACCCAAAATACACTGTTGGCTCAATCAAGCACATCAACATACATGTTATCAACAAACAATTTTCCATTTCGTATGTCTTGTATATTTTGCTTTTTTTTTTTTTTTTTTTTTTTTTTTTCCTTCCTTTTTTTTCTTTTCCCTACC